GGTCTCTGCTCCCCTGCGGTCTCTGCTCCCCCCTGGTCGCTGCTCCCCTGCCATCTCTGTTCCCCTCTGGTCTCTGCTCCCCTCTGGTCTCTGTTCCCCTGCCATCTCTGTGCCCCTGTGGTCTCTGCTCCCCTCTGGTCTCTGCTCCCCTGCGGTCTCTGCTCCCCTGCGGTCTCTGCTCCCCCCTGGTCTCTGCTCCCCTCTGGTCTCTGCTCCCCTGCGGTCTCTGCTCCCCTCTGGTTATCTGTGCCCTGAGGGTCTCTGCACCGGTGCCTGCAGGGTCCCCTCCTCCTGGCCTCCATTTAGTTCCAGGCACATGTTCCCGGAAGCCCAGGGAGGCCAATGGCCAGCTCCCTGCTGACCGCCAGACCCCAGGCCTCAAGCAGAGTGTCCGCAGGAGGAGAAGCTCCCGCTGCCCGGACCCTGTGCCTCAGTCTCCCTGGCTGTGGAGCCGGCCCCTGCACGGACCACCTGTCCCCTCAGAGGCAGACACAAGGCCCCAGGAGGAGGCGGCGGCCCAGAGGGGGCCCAGTCTGAGGCCCCGGCGTGTGGGCGGGCAGGCCCAGGTCTCTGGTGCCGGGAAGGGCCTGCAGGAAGGGGGGCGTGGGTGCCGCCCCAGCCGGAGATGCAGGCCCTTCCCGGGAAGCTGGGCCCTTGACCCGGGTGGGGGCCTGGTGCGGAGGCTGCTCCCAGCCTGACCCAGCTTCCTGCCGTCCCCCAGCTGGGCGGCCGGGGCGCCAGTGACAGGCAGCGGACGCGGCTCTCCGGCCAGACCCAGTGCTGGTTCTCAGCACCGCCTGGTGACGCCGGCCTCCTGTTGGACTCAGAGGGGACATGGCAGGGGCGGCAGCAGGGGCAGCTGCCCAGGGGAGGGTCAGGCGGGTGCTCAGGTGGAGGAGCTGGAAGTCGGGAGCCGGGGGGAGACAGAGACAGACAGAGACAGAAATGGGGGCAGAGCGGTAGAGGGAGAAACGGAAGCAGAGGCAGAGGGGAAGGGCCTGGAGGCTCTGGGTGGAGGCTGGGGAGGTCCGAGTCCTTGGCCCCGTCAAGGCCCAGGGCCACAGCATGGCACCTGGAGTCTCCCCTTCCCGGCATGGCCTGCCCTGGAAGTCGTCCGCAGCAGCCTCGGCAGGAAGCCTCTGCTTCCCATGGAGGGTCCTAGCCCTCCCCCAGAGGGGGCGGGGCTTCAGGACCAGGGCCCGGCCGGCCGCCCTCTGACCGGCAGTCTCGGGGTCCTCACGGCCCTTCCTGGGAGGTGGACTGCTGGTCCTTGCCCAGTCTCAGGGAGCCTGGGAGATGCAGGAGGGGGCTGTGAGGACTGGGTTTCAGCGAGGAGGCCCAGTGTGGGCTGGTGCAGAACCAGCTGGGCAGGCCTCTGCAGACGCCCCGGGCAGCACGGGGCTGGGCCCAGGGTCCACCATAAGCCACCCCCAGAAGGCCCTGTGGCGGTGGGGTTGGGGGCGACGGGAGCTGTCTCAGGTCCCGCAGAGCCGGGGTCTCCGGCTGGCTGGCTCCACTCTGTCCCTGCTGCCCGGCCTCTGGACGCCCTGAGGTTGACGTCGAAGTGTCAGCGGGAGCTGAGGCTGGGTGTCCGCCGTGCGCCAGTCACGTGGACACTGTGGGCCTCAATGACGCCCCCGTGGGCGGGTCAGGTCTGTGTGGGCCTTGTGTGGGCCTGGAGGAGTCCGTAGCCCATGGCAGGCCAGTCCCTGCAGGCTGGCTGAGCAGCACCGTGCAGAGCCGCCAACCACGCGGCCACCACCTGGCATTGATTTCCGGTGTGACTGAGCTGAGGGTGAGGCTGAGGCGAAGGCAGAGGTGTGAGCACTGCTCACACTCAGGTCTGGGCTTGAACCATGGCTGTGCACGCCCTACACCCCCCCGCCTCACTGAACGTCAACCCTGCCAGCTCCTAGGCGCAGGTCTGTGGCCCTCAGCTGTGGGCTGGGCGGTCTCTCTAGGGCAGCTCTGTCTCATCTGTAGGGGTGGTTATGGGAGGGCCTGGGCTGGCCAGGACTGGGGCTGGATGAGCACACGCGGGGTGGGGACACCCCGACGGCACCGTGGGCCTGAGCGCTGGCCTTCACCACTGGGCCTGCTGCACTGTGGCATCTGGGGCTGGTGGCACGTCACCAGGGCATCTCCAGTGGCGAGGGGCTGGGTGGTGAGGACAGTTCTCTTGCCAGGCACCGGGCATCCCTGGTTGCTAGGGGCTGGGCCATGCCGGCTGTTGCTGTTGTCAGGCAGGTCTGGGTGCTAGAAGTCCCGTGCCTGGGGCCAGGATTACGGGACAGGAACCCCCAGCTTACCGGGCCTGGAGGGTGCTTCTGGGTGGGCCTGATGGTGCCTAGACCGGGTCAGGGGTGATGTGTTGGGAGTGCAGGCGAAGAGGGAGGCCGTTAGTCCACAGTTCTGAGAGCCTGCGGGCTAGCCCTGTTGCAGGACTGGGGACGCAGAGCCCAGAGGGGGACCCTGGCCCCGGGGCCTCCGTCCAGGGACATGGGCCATACACACGAGGGCCTCCGTCCAGGGGCACGGGCCTCGCACAGCAGCGGGCAGCACGTCAGCTGGCTCCAGGCAGTAAGCCTGGACTGAGGCCTGGCCGGCTCCTGGGGTGTCCCTGAAGCCGAGCGCAGGCCACTGTCATGCTCCGGCCAGCTCACAGGACCTCTGACAACGGCATAGCCCTCATGCTCGGGCAAGTGGCCGGGGAGTGCGCCGTGGCGTAGAGGGAGGGACGGGCGAGTGGGCAGGGAAGGCCCCTGAGTGAGCAAAGGTGAACCACAGTGCAGCACAGGCCCTGGCTGCAGTGGGCGTGCAGAGGCTGCTCTGAGCCCGTGCCCAGTTCTGCCCAATGGAGCCAGCCCTGTCCTCACTGGTCTGTGCTGGCCCGTGCTGGCCCACGCTGTTCGACGCTGGCCCTGCTGGTCTTCCGCGCTGGTCGTCTGCGCTGGTCGTCTGCGCTGGTCCGCGCTGGTCATCCACGCTGGTCATCCACGCTGGTCGTCCGCGCTGGTCCTCGCTGGTCATCCACGCTGGTCGTCTGCGCTGGTCGTCCGCGCTGGTCCTCGCTGGTCCCATGCACGGCGCCTCTTTCTGGGGCGGAGGAAGGAGAAGAGCTGGCATGGTCTCCATGTGCTCCGGTAAGAACAAGGCGTCCTTGTGAGTCTGAACAAAGGGGCAGGCGGCTGGAGAGGCGCGTGAGGCTGAGTCAGGGCCTGGCCACCCGACAAAGGGCAGAGGCCAGGCCCGGGGAAGGCTGGAGTGACAGATCGTGGATGGCAGCCCGGAGGGCAGGTGTGAGCTGACCTCAGGCGGCCTCACCTGCAAACAGCCGGCCTCCGCCAGACCTGCTGCCTGGGACAGGGCACCTGGTCCCCAGGAAGCTGGCCTGCCGGGACCCTTGCTGTCGGCCCCAGGTGCGCTCTGAAAAGAGCCGTGGGTGACTGTGGCCTGGCAGTTAAGGGAGCCAGATCCCACATGGCGACCGCACGGTTCAAGTCCCAGACCAGGCAGCTTGAAACACGGCAGATGTGTGTACGGTGTGCCCAGAATCCCAACAGGAGAGACGGGCAGCGGGACACCTTTGTGAGACAGGTGTGCACAGGTGAGAGAGACAGGAGAGAAGACACCCTCGACGGGGCCCTGCCACAGCGCAGTCCCTTCAAGGAATCTGTGTTTCCCGCTTTTGGCAGTTGTAAGCCCTGGGTGTGGACACACGTTTCAGCTCGTCTGGGTAAACACCAAAGTGGCTGCAGGGTCACACGGTAGGAGACCGCCAGACTTGGGCTGGGCTTGTGGCAAGGTGGTTAGGGGCCAGATCTCAGGCCCAGCATGCGGCATGGTGGTTAAGGTGCTGGAGTCTCATGTGTTGACCATGGTTTGAGTCTTACTTGAAACTCACACTGGGCACATGTGCATGCCCAAAGTCCCAGAGGAGAATGGAGAAGGGATTGTGGCCTGGCCACCCCTCCTGGGGGGTGATTTCTTGCTTTCTGTCTCTCTGTTCCTCTCTGTCTCTCTCCAGTGACTGCATAAGCCCTATGGGAAAAAACTGAAAGCAAAACAAAACAAACTAAAAACCAATTCTGGATTTCAGTCCAGGTCCACGCCCTGGAATTTCTGGGTGTGGAGCTGGCCGGATTAACGGAGGAGACACTGTCCCTGAGTGTGCCTGAGAGCGCTGTCAGGTCAAAGGGGGCCAGAGAAGGCCCCATTCCACTGAGTGGGCAGCTCCCCTCAGCTGGGGGCAAGGGAGGGACAGATAGGAAGTGGAGTTCTGCTCCCCCATCGCGCGGTCCACTCCTCCACCTGCCCACTCCACCACTGCTTTTCCACTGGCTCTTGGCTGAATGGTGGTGCATCTCCCGGCCCCGTGCCCGTCCATCTGGACACACGCTTTTAACCTCTGGACCCTAGAGTCACACCAGCGGCTGCCCAAGGGCAGTCAGGCCTGTGGCCTCCCAGGAGCACTTTAGGTTGGGGACTGGGACTGCACCAGCTTCCCTGCCTCAGTCTCCCAGGGGCCCCCTTCAGGCCTGGACTGGAACTGCACCAGCCTTAGGTCGTGGCCTGGACCTGCACCAGCCTCCCTGCCTCAGTCTCCCAGGGGCCCCCTTCAGGCCTGGGCTGGAACTGCACCAGCCTCCCTGCCTCAAGTCTCCCAGACTCCCACCTCCCACCCCCACCCCCTGCAATATGGCCAGGCCTGGACATATTGAGTTAAAGAAAATGTAATATTAAAATCGATGTCACTTACCTCTCATGCTTTACATTCATGATGGAGTGCATGCATGAGAGAGAGAGAAGCACCCTCGGTGGGGCTGGTTACACCCCAGCCCCTCTCCTCCTGTCCTCCAGCCCACTGGGGCCCTGGGATGCATGGCCAGTGTGCTGTCAGGCGGGGATTCAGACCGCGGCAGGCACACGGCTTCCAGCTCTGCAGTTCAGGATGCTGCGGGCTGAGCCTCTCCCGTCCTTCAGTGAGATTCTCAGAACACGTGTGCGTGTGCTGTGGTGTGCGTGCTGTACTTAGCCCTGGGGGGACTGCCACTGCAGCCAGCCGTGAGGCTGCTGCCATGCCCCCAGGAGGCTGGCACACAGGAGGTGCTCAGTAAAGGCACGGAGCACAGAGGCAAGGCTCGGTCTGGGCTCATCCAACGGGAGTCGAGGGCGGCTCGAGGTGCAGGGGTTTGGTTTTAAGATCGTGTGTTTGTCGTGTGGAAATGGATTACAGGAGAAGAGGGCCTGCATGAGTGCTGGGGCCGTGGTGTCATTGCGTGGGCTGAAAGGGGGGCTAAGAGTCGAATCGACGGAGGGAGCTGAGGGGAAGCAGAGTGTGGGCCCCTGGTGGGACACCGCTGGCTCTGCCATTGCAGTGCTCTGCCCGGGTCCCACAGATGGAGCGCCCACGGGAAGCTGAGGGGGACAGATGGGGCCAGCCCAGGACATCAGAGCCACCAGCCCTCTGCCATCTGGGAAGTGGCCATTCCCCATTGAGGCCTGTGGGTGAGCGCAGCCCTGGCTGCCGGTGTCCCTGCACCCTGAGCGAGGACCCCACCACACTGCCGACCACAGGACCAGAGGCGAGTGCACGCCTGTGTTAAAGTGCTCTGTCAGGGGATCAGCTACGCCAATAACAGCTCCAGCCCAGCACCTCAGCTGTCCCGGGTGCCTCACGTCCCAGCTGGAGCTCTGGGTTACCCCACCCCTGCCCTGCCCTGTCTGCAGACAGCTCCAGCCTCCGGGCTGCCAGGCTGAAACTCAGGGCCACAGCCTCACGCCTCTGAGTCCTTCACCCACACATCTCGCCTGCTGGCAGACCCTGCAGGCTCTTGCTTCGAAATCGTCCCCTAGAAGCAGCCTGCCAGTGCCTGGGCCGCCCCATATCCACGGTCACCTCTACCTCTGGTTTCTGGTCCCTGGGCTGGCCTGCTCACCGCCTCCTGGTCTCCCCGTGCCACACAGACTGTTCTCCCTGAAGCCACCAGAGGGCGTCGGTGAGCACCACATCAGGTGCAGCCCCTGGTGCCATAACCTCTGCAGGCCACCCGCCTTGGTCCCTTGCACGCCTCTGCCTCCCTGCAGGTTTCCCTAGCCCGGGTGCTCTAGGACCTTCACATGCTGTGTCCTGTCTGGGACAGCCACCCCCGCCGTTGCTGCCTCTCCTTCAGATCCCTGCAGGGATGTGAGCGGCTCAGTGAAGTGCCCCCACTCTTTACGTCGGACCACGTGCCACCCTGCCTCGGTTTCCCCATGGCACCACCTGCCTCCCAAAGTAACCCAGAGTCACTCATCTGACACCTCCCCTCACCAAAGGGGCCAGGGGGTCAGGGTTTGGGTCACGCCTGGACTGCATGGCACAGAGACCCAGGCTGGAGGCGGCCTTGGTCAGAGCTGCGCTGTAGGGTTGGCCTCCAGCTGCCGTGACGCCCCTTGCCCAGGGCCTGCCTCTCACTCCTGGCCAGGCTTTCCTGCTCCGCTTTTCGACTTTCTCTGTCACCAACAGGTTGGATTGGAGTAAGAGCGTGGATGTGAATTAATCTGCATCCCATGACAAGGTCTATACATTGCAGAAGGCGGAAGCCGAGCCGGAAACCGAGCCCTGATGCCCAGACCCTCACGTCTCTTGGAAACCACCCTCCACGGGAGGCCAGGAAGGAAACTGTGACACCGAAAGAAAAAGACTTCAAAGATCTCTCCAAGTTCTGATACCAGGTAAGCTGGGGAAGCTGTAGAGGCTGGATCGGATGCCAACACAGCCACACGGGACTTCTGGGAAGCGAGCGACAGCAGTCAGATGGGGAAGACAAGATCTGGAGCGCCCTTGAACTGTGGGAGAAGACTCCTCCATTGTAGCTGAGGGCCAGTGCTTTCAGGGAGTCAGAGAAATGACTTTCCACTGAAAATTCATCCTCCAGCCTCCAGTCCCAAGTGGCAGGGCACCCCCTGCATCCTTCTCTCTGTCTCTCTCTGCCTCCCTCTGTCTTCTCATTTTTTTTTTTTTGAGAGATTTTCGCTATAGGGCGCGTGTGCTCGCCAGACAGACAGAGAGAGACAGAGAGACAGAAAGCGAGAAAGCACCCCCCGGGGGGATGGTCACGCCGCAATCCCTTCTCCTCCATTCTCCTCTCGGGATCTTGGGCACGCACACACACGCGCCCGGCGTGAATTGTAAGCCACCGGGTCCGGGACGCGAACCGCGGTCGACTACGTGGGAGTCCAACGACATAGCCATTACGCTAACTGCTGGTTCCTATGTCTTCTCATTTTTTAGTAATTTTTTTCAAATCCTCCTTTACCTTGCTAATAATCCCCTTTCCTCCCTCCCATTTAGGAGAAGCAAGGGGCAGGCCTTCAGAAGGAGGAGGCCTAAGCCATTGTAGCTGATAACTGGTGCGTGCCACACTGTCTTCATTTTTGCTTTTTAAAAGAGTAATACAATTTTTGGTTGTTTTTTTCTTCTCTCTCTCTCTTTCTATTTCTCTATTTTCTTTGTCCTTTCACTTTGCTGCCCAGTCTCTATGCACTGAGTGTCTAGACAGCTCTAAGGGAACTGTAGCCAAACATCCAAATATGATTAGAGGCGACTTTTCCTCAAAACCCACTGAATCTGCTGCACAAAGGGGAAAATTTGGAAGGCGAAGAGATTGCAGCTCACCTCCTCCTGCACGCCGCTGAATGCTCAGATTGAACTTCTAGAAATTAGGAAGAAATGTATAACCCATCAGAGGATCAGAAATCACCACAGAGAAGCGAGGAATATGAGACACCAAGATAATACCTCTCCCCAAGGGAGAAGAACAGCTCCTCTTCATCCACAGATAGTTCATGGAGATCATGGAAACGTCTGGTGTAGAATTTACAACATTCTTCGTGACAAAGTTAACAGGGATACAACGGAAGACAGACAATGGGCTCCAGAAGAGGCCAGAGAATGGAGCCGATTGTTCCAGGAGGCGAGGAAGTTCTTGCACGATTTGAAGAGGAAATGCACATCATAAAAAAGAACAAATGGAGCTGTCAGAGAGGAAGGCTGCAGTACAGGAAGGCAAAACCTTCCTTGAAAGTATTAAAAGCAGACTAGGTCACTCAAAGATCCAGACCCAAGAAATGCAAAGGACCCCAAATAGAATCAACCCAAGAAGATCTTCTCCAAGACACATTATAGCCAGACTGACCAAAACCACAGACAAAGACAAGATACTAAGATTGGCAAGAGAGAAACGGCAAGTTATGTACAAAGGACATCCCATCAGGCTAACAGCGGACCTCTCATCGGGAACAATGCGAGCGAGGTAAGAATGGGAAAATACATTCAAAGTGTTAAGGGAAAAGCAATTTCAACCAAGAATACTGTACCCGGCAAGATTATCCTTTGTATGGGAAGAAAAGACAAGAACATTCTCAGATAAACAAAACCCGAAAGAATTTACCAGCACCAGACCAGATCTTCAAGAAGTTCTCAAGGGAGTGCTGTGTCAGGAAAACTAAAGTCAGTCAGACAGAAATGAGAGTCCAAAATCAACTAAGAAAGTGGCCGGCTTAATGGTAAGGACAAGACTGGAGTTGAATGTTATCTCACAGAATTTAAACGGCAAGATTGGACCACTATAGAAGTTAGATTAAGTACGTGAGACTGAGCTGGTGAAATAGAATGTTATGATTTTTGACTAAAACAACACTGATCTTTTTCTATGCTTTGTAGTCCAGAGACAAGGATTTTTGTCTTCTCTTGAATCATCAACAGATCCATATACTTACTATTTGAACAGAATCCTAACCTGTTTTCTGGCTTTAAGTCTTAAGCAATGTTCTAACAATGTCTGATTTTGATTTAGTAAAGCTAAGACTGCTTTTCTTGACATTAAAAAAATATATAAAAAACACCTATGTAATGACCACAGTAAGCTATATCGGCTCAGCTAGGAGCTCTTTTATTGTATACTCACTGCTCAGTTTCTTGCCTAAAGCCAAACATTTGTTCACAGATATACATCAGCCGAGCTTGCTATTGAAAGTAGTTAGCTGAATTAAGATGTTTTGTGAATCAATAAAATCCGTGGGCTGGGAAAGCAATAGAACGACTGCAGATGGCAGAGACAGGGTGGGAGGAGGCTGGGACGGCAGAGGGGAGACACGAGACCTGGAGAGCGGCTTGTTGACAGTGACACACAACGAAGCCAGCACATACCACTCTGGATGGGCAACTGCATTTTGTATGCTATGATGATGTTCAGCGAATGAATGTAAAATAATGATTTAAAAATGCCCACGAGTACTTATGAAAACAAAATTAAGCAAAACACCCGAGTCCCTGGGGCGGGTTCTGGCAGCCTTCAGGCCCAGCCGGGTCTGGTGAGCTGCGAACTGCCACGCGGGCTCAGCCGGCCACTCCACCCATCTCGGCCGCCACCGGGAGGACACTGTGACAGCAGCACCGGGTCCTGGTTAGAGCCCGGGTGTAGAGTGGAGGGCCGTGTCCTACCCATGTCACAGAGAAACCCGCTGGCCTGAGTCCAGCTGGAGCTGCGTCTCTGCACTCCCTGGGTGTCTGAGGTCTCCTGCGTGCGGGGGCCTTCGGGGAGCAATGTCTACTCCCTGTCCGCTCTCCCTGCCTGGCCCTGGGAGACCAAGGCTGACCTTGCTAGTGTCATCTCTGGTGCGGTGCGCTGGCTGCTCCTGGCCATGGACGCACTGGAGAGCAGGTCACGCTCACCTCTCCCTCCTCAGTGAGCAGGCTGTGGCTCTGGGCCTTGTGATCCCTCCGGACACACATGCAGCCTGTCCAAGGACAGTGGTGGAAGGCCTGCAGGCCACAGGGCCTAGGTGGCTGCACCCTGGGCAGAGGCCCAGGCTGGGACCATCTAAGGGACTTCAGAGAGTAGTACCCAGGCCAATGTGGCCAGAGGGAGGTGAGCTAGGGAGCGGTGAGAGCTGAGGGGAGGTGGAACAGGGCCATGCAGAGCTTTGCGAGCTCTGGTAAGAGCTTGGGTTCGATGCCAAGGGCTGCAGGAGCCCGCAGCATTGTGAGCATCCTAGAAGGCTGAGCTGGGCTAGAACCACTTTGCCCCCAAGCTCTGGTCGAAGCTGAGTTAGAGAGTGAGTCCCAACCCTGCTGACGAGTGCCCAAGGGACCCCATTCATGTCCCTTCCTCCCTGAGCCCCACTGTCCCCGTCTACAACAACAGATGACAGTTCGCAATTACATCTCCCTCAGTGAGAGTCACACAGGGACATGGTAAATATTCAGTAAAGAGATCTCACTTGTACAAGAGACAGAGTTTGCTTTAGCAGCTTTGCATAGGCCATGCTATCCAGTTAGTGTGGGGGGGGTCTGTAGTGCTGTCTCCCTTTCATTCCTGATACTGGTGGTTTGTGTTCTTCCTCATTTTCCCCTAGATCATCCTATCCTGAGGGCTATCAAAGTTGTTCAACTTTTTTTTTTTTGGGGGGGTTTGCTATATGGTGCATGTGCTCACTGGAGAGACAGAGAAAGACAGATAGAAAACAGGAAATCACCCCCTGTGGGGATGGCTACACCACAATCCCTTCCTTTCCAGTCTCCTCTCAGAATTTTGGGCATGCATGCACATGCACCCAGCATGAGTCCTGGGTCTGGGACTTAAAGCATGGTTGACTACATGGGAGTCCAGGGACATAGCCAGTACGCATCTGTTGGTCCCTTTTTTCTTTTTCTCTTTCTTTCCTTCTTTCTTTCTTTCTTTTTTAGAGAGTTTTTCACTATAGGGCGCATGAACTCTCCAGAAAGACAGACAGAAAGCAAGAAATCACCCCCCCAGGGAGGATGGCCAGGCCACAATCTCTTCTCCTCCATTCTCTTCTCGGGATCTTGGGCACACATGCACATGTGCCCGGCATGAGTTTAAGCCACCGGGTCCAGGACTCGAACTGTGGTTGACTACATGGGAGTCCAGTGACTTAGACATTACGCCAACTGTTGGTCCCGCCTTTTTTCTTTTTCTTTTTTTAAGAAAGATTTTTGTTATAGGGCATGTGCACTCACCAGAGAGACAGAGAGAGACAGAAATCACCCCCCAGGGGGGATGGCCACGCCGCAATCCCTTCTCCTCCATTCTCCTCTCGGGATCTTGGGCACACACGCACACGCGCCTGGCATGAGTTTAAGCCACGGGGTCCAGGACTCGAACTGTGGTCTACCACGTGGGAGCTCAGCGATGTGATTATTATGCCAACTATGGTCCCTGGGTAATAGTAAAGTGTTGTTGGATTTCAACTTTTTTCCAGGGGGAGCTCCCGTTATGCTATGCTACTCATTTCCAATTTAATTTCTTTGTATCAAAGGTAATATTTGATAACATTTTCTGTAAGTTTCAATTTTCTGATATGTACCATGACTTCAATTTTTACTTTTCACATGAACTATAACATTTTGATTGAAATGTCTTTTTAAATTACACGATGAGTCAATATTACATTGCGGGTAAATCGTATGATACGTGAATTATATCTCAATAAAGCGCTAAAAAGTTGCATTGCGGAGTCCAACCATGTGGCGACACGGACGGGAGTCTGAACCCCACCGGCATTTCCCCTTCTCCACCTGGCACCGTGGCGGCCTTCGGTGAACGAAGGGACATGGAGCTTGGTTGGGCTGGAGCAAACCCCAGCACAGGCGTCTGGGAGGCCGCAGGCTCTTCCGGGCCGCCCTCGCCTTGTCTGTCTCCTTCCCTGAAACCTCGTCCCCAGACGCCGTGTGACTTCCTCAGTCACCTCCCGAGGGCTCTGCCCCAGTCTCAGTCCCGGCGTGGCTCGGCTGCGCGGCACTCCTGGACCAGCCCGTGCAGCGCCACGTGAGCTGTCTGCTGCCTGCTCTGCCCGTGCTGCGCCTCCCCCAGCCCAGGCGGAGCTAGGACGGCAGGTGCTGAGCGAGTGGGGCCGGGAGGACGTGCCTCAGAGTCCTCCCAGCCCCTCCCGCAGGGCCGGTGCCCTGTGTGCAGCCCCTGCTCCCTGGGGACCCGCTCTGCTGACACCGGATTCTTTCCTGGCCGACACTCGATCCCAGCTCCACTTCCAGGCCTGGCCCGGGCAGGGCTCCGGGACTCTGGCCGAGACAAGGGCTGTCTTCACGGGAACGGCCAAGGGCGTGTGGGAGGCGGGGGTGCTGTCTACACGGCGGGTGGCTGAGACCGAGCACAGTGCCCGTGCTGTGCTGGCGACCAGGAGATCCCAGGCCCCGTGGTGCAGCCCCACACCCGCTCCATGGGGATCCTCGGCTGCGACCCCCTGCCACGCCCCACCACAGTGCCCACGGGCCGGCGTGGGACCGAGGGGCAGATCCCAGAGACCGGCCTGAGGAAGTCCTGCAGGATGGCCACCCTGGAGGACGGTGCGTGGGCTGTGGGCAACGTGGCCCTGGCGGTGGGACCCTTCCCTGCCCCGCCCCTGGGCTTCTGGACCACCCCTCCCAGCCATCGGCCCGGCACCTTCCAGTGCAGCTGAAGTGCCCGTCAGGCCACCGGGAGAGTGGGGACAGCCACGCCGCGTGGGTGGGCACTGCAGAGGGCCACGGCAGGGCCACAGCTGGGGCCGCACTGACAGGGCACTCGAGCCTGGTGTCCACAGCTGTGACGGAGGGGCTGGGACTCGGTCCCTGGCCGCCCCGCCTTTGTGGCCTGACATTCTTGTGGGGTCACCAAAGGGCACAAATGAAATGGTGACTGTGAGTCCCAGGCCTGGGTCGCCTGCACCGTGACAGTCCCCTGTGAGTCTGGGTCCCCTCCTGGACAGTCCCCTGTGAGCCCCGGGTCCCCTCCTGGACAGTCCCCTGTGAGCCCCGGGTCCCCTCCTGGACAGTCCCCTGTGAGCCCCAGGTCCCCTCCTGGACAGTCCCCTGTGAGCCCCGGTCCCCTCCTGGACAGTCCCCTCCTGGACAGTCCCCTGTGAGTCTAGGCCGAAGCAGAGAGCAGGCTGCTGCCCCGCCAGCCCAGCTGTGACTCCCCCTCGGCTCACAATGTCACCTGTGTCCTCAGAGCCGCTCCCCGCTTCTCCCAGCCCTGCGGTGGAGGGTGGGCGGGGCCGGGGCTCAGGGCCGTGGGGTCCTCCCGCCCTGTGTTCCAGAGCCAGGCCTGTGACTGAGGGCTTTGTCTGCAGGGTCCGGGCCAGGATCCTGCCTCCTGCCATCTGCTGTCGGCCGCTTCAACCAGGACTGCACCAGGGTGGCCAGCCCTGCGTGCTCACGTACCCGGAAGTCTGGTGAGGGTAAGGCTGGCTGTCCAGGGTCTGGAGGACTCCCTGGACCTCCCGTCTGCCCCGGGGCCCTTCTCCTGGCCCTCGCGCCTTAGATCCAGCCCCCACGAGCGACAGTAAGCAGACAGGGCTGGGCCAGCCTGCACGGCCTCCACCGCCATGTGGAAACCCAGCGTGTCAGGAGACGGTGCGGGTAGCCGCCTTGCCTGTCGCGCGTGTGCTAGCGTGTGCATGCGTGTCCGCCCGCTGTGCCTGTCGACCTGCCAAACCCACTACCCACACACACTTGTGCCCAGGACCTGGAGCGGGCCGGGACCACAGGCTCTGGTCCTGGGTGCCACGTGCTCACACTCCCCACACGGGTACTGAGGCACTCAGCCTTCACCCCTGCCATGGGGACAGAGAGGTGAGGACAGACTGGCCTCCAGCTCACACGAGGCCTCGTCCGAGCCGGCCAGAGCCGCTCTCGGGATGTCTCCGCCACGGCACCCACACCCAGCCCGTCCTGCTGCGGTACCCGGGGTGGCTCTGGGCTGCAACCTTGCAGGGGCGAGGTGGAGGGCAGGGCAGGTAGCAAGGGAAGTGCCCGGGCGGGGGGATGGACTCCTGGGCGCCGGAAGGGTCACGGCAGCCCCGCTGTGCCTGTGGGGCTGAGGGCACAGGCCTCCTCCTCAGAGGACCCCTCGACTCCTCTCCCCAGCACCTCCTCCCGACTGCAGCCCGGGGCCCATCTACCTTCTGGACCCAAAAGTCACCCGCTTTGGCCGCAGCTGCACCCCTGCTTACTCCATGCAGGGCCGGGGCAAGACTCGGGGTGAGTGCTGTCCTGACCCTCGCGCCCTGGTTAGCCGGCTAGACGGCGCGCTCTGGCACTGAGTGGGCGGTGGCCCGGCCTGCACCCGGCTGCTGGAGGGCGGCTGTGTGCACCGTGGGGACAGTGGCAAAGCTCATTTGCACTGAAGCCCTGGAGCTGTCACTTGCCCGTCACTCACATTCCATGCACCAGATCTACCCACGAAGCCACGTGCGGGCCATGTCTCTATCTTCTGACCCACCTCTTAGACCATCCTCCCACCAACATGTCCACCCTCCCACCCCCCGCCTGCCCACCCACTCCTGCTGGCTCCAGCTCACACACATGGAAGGTGGGGAGGGAGGGCCACCTCAGGGCCACTTGACACCGTGAACTCAAGGATGTGCTCAGCCCCGGCTCTCCCCTCCTGCAGGTCTGGAGGTGACGCCAGGCCCTGGGGCTTACAGTCCGGAGAAGGCACCCCCTGTGCACCAGCGGACACCCCCAGCTTTCAGCCTGGGCTCTCGCCTGCGCCCCAGGCCCCGGGACACCTCCGCCCCTGCCCCCAATGCGTACACCATGCCGCCCCTCTGGGGTTCACAGGTCTTCATCAAGCCCAGCTACCCCAGCTACTCGGTGGTGGGCCGCACAGCTCCTGCCCGCCCCCCGCAAGACCCCGCCGAGATACCTGGCCCCGGCCAGTACAACAGCCCGGACCCCAACACTTACCGCCAGCGCTGGCCCGCCTTCACCATGCTGGGCCGGCCCCGCGCCCCGCGCCCCCTGGACGAGACCCCAGGCCCGGGCACCCACAGCCCTGAGCAGGTCACTGTGAACAAGGCCAGGGCCCCAGCATACACCATGGGGATCCGCCACTCGACGCGGGCTGCCACGGTCCGACCGGCCTCGCCCAGAGCCCCTAGCCACAGGCAGCTGCCCCCTCCCAGACGGCCCCCTGCACTGGGAGGACCCTCGCTCCGGCTGGAGGGAGAAGCCAGGAGGGCATCTGGGGTGGCCGCTCCTTCCTTCCCTGGCTCGGAGCTGTCCGAGGTGCTGCTCAGTCATCTGATCCCGGGGGCGGTGACCTCGGCCCTGTGCGGGGTGCAGGGCGAGTCTCCTCTCACGGCCTGGTTTCTATTTCCCAGGCCAGGCCAGGCTGGGAAATGGACACTCCCGTGCCTCCCCTGTGCCGCCAGAGCCGGAGCTTCCGGTGTCCTAGAACTCGGTGTCCGGCCCCGACAGGGCTTGGGTCCCCACCAGAGCACGGGTTCCTGCTCCTCACGGAGCTCAGTGGGGACAGCGAGTCAGGACGCCAGCAGCCTTGAGGCCCCTGCCCTCCCCAGCCCTGCTAAGAGTCGCTTGGCAATAAACCTCCCTGAGCACGGCACGTCGGTTCAGCTACCTGGGTCTGCTCACGCCGCAGGAAGGGGACCGGATGCCTGCCTACAGCCTCTGGGCGTCCCGACGGGACCAGAGGAGCCAGGCTGAGAGACAGGGAAGGGAGGCAGGGTTTTGAGCAGGATGAGCCAGGCAGAGTTCCTGGGAGATCACTGAAGCTGGGTTTTGAAGGGTAGGAGTTTGATTTTTTTAAAGGAGATTTTTGCTATAGGGCATGTGCACTTTCTGGAGAGACAGAGACAGAAAGTAAGAAATCCTCCCTCAGGGAGGATGGGCACCCCACAATCCCTTCTCCATTCTCCTCTTGGGATCTTGGGCATGCATGTACACGCATCTGGTGTGAGTTATTTATTTTGAGTTTTTTTTTTTTTTTTTTGCTATAGGTCAAGTGCGCTCGCCAGAAAGAGAGACAGAAAGTAAGAAATCCTCCCTCAGGGAGGATGGGCACCCCACAATCCCTTCTCCATTCTCCTCTCAAGATCTTGGGCACGCACGCACATGCGCCTGGCATGAGTTTAAGCCACTGGGTCCAGGACTCAAACTGTGGTCGACTACGCGGGAGTCCAGAGACATAGCCATTACACCAGCTGCTGAGTTTTAAGCACCTGGGTCCGCAGCTGACTACATGGGAGTGCATCAAAGTAACCATTAACGCCAGGTGCTGGTCCCTAATCTGATGTATTCTAATACCTGCCATGAGATCCCGGAGGCAGGCGATGCTTACGAGAAGAACTGGAACTTGCCCCAGGGCTGCTGCGAGCCCGGCAGTCCCACGTCAAGGTCTGAACCCTGACCGCTGCACTTCTTCCCGTCACTTCCTAGGGACACAGAGGGGCCATGGGACCAAGCTGTGTGTAGGGAGGGGACACACCGGGATTTGTCCTGCAACCCCACATGAAGACCCCAGTCTGGGAATTGCCAGGCCTCCCCGAAGGGAAGGAAGCACAGAAGAGGGCTGGGGTGCCAGCTCTCTCTTCTCCCTCAGCCCGGAGCTGACCATCTGAACATGCTCCACCCACTGCACACGCACCAGGACCCCCGTGTGCACACATGCCCCCAAGCACGCACCAGGATCCCGTGTGCACACGTGCCCCCGTGCACGCACCAGGACTCCCGTGTGCACATGTGCTCCTATGCACGCACCAGGACTCCCGTGTGCACATGTGCTCCTGCGCACGCACCAGGGCCCCGTGTGCACATGTGACCCTGTGCATGCACTAGGACCCCCGTGTGCACGCACCAGGACCCCCGTGTGCACACATGCCCCCACGCATGCACCAGGACCCCCGTGTGCACATGTGACCCTGTGCATGCACTAGGACCCCCGTGTGCACGCACCAGGACCCCCGTGTGCACATCTGACCCTGTGCACACACCAGGACCCCCGTGTGCACATGTGACCCTGTGCATGCACCAGGACCCCTACACACACAGGTACTTCTGCACATGCACCAGGACCCCCGTGTGCACAAGTGCCCCCATGCACGCACCAGGACCCCTACACACGTACCCCCTCACACACAGCAGGACTCCTACATAAACATGTAGCCCTGCATGTGCACTGGGACCCTTCGGAGCACACGTGCCCCTGCACACACACCGGGACCCTTCGGTGCTCATGTGGCCCTCCATACACTGGCCTATGCATCAGAGCAGCCCCAGGCAGGGCACTGGCACCCAGAACCCCCCACATGCTTTTCACACACATGAACCAAGACCACACGTACTAGGCACTGGCGAGTACAGCGTGAGCTGGGTCCCTGTCCAGGCCTCAGCCGCTGTCAGGCGGTGAGGGGTGACGGCAGCGGCCAGGTCCAGTCAGAGCACCTGCTCTGGCCCACCCTCCTCATCCCGCAGGACCATGGGGGCTCGTTTCTCCAAGGGATCGATGGCGCTCAGGCCCTGCCCCGCCTCCCCCACCTGCCAGCGGCTCCCCCTCCCTCCCCCTGGGCCGGCGGGCC